AATCACACCAAGTTCTTGTGATGATATCTTGAGTGGTGTTTTTTTCTGTTTGCAGGGAGATTATCTTAAAGTATGGCAAATCTATTGATGGTCTTGCAAGGGATCTAGCAAGGAGATTAGGAGAGAGTTACCAGATAGCAGAAACCGATTTTTTCAAAGAATGGCCGAGCCAACTTCGGATGAACAAATACCATTTTAAACCGGAGACTATTGGTAAACATGGTGTGAGTTTACACACGGATCCTGGATTCTTAATTAACAGTTCTTCAAGGTGATGAAAATGTTGGTGGACTTGAAGCCATGGACACTTCTTCAAGAACATTTTTCCCCATAAACACATTGTTAAACACGCTTACCATAAACCTTGGTGATACTGCTACGGTGAGATCTATCATCACTAATAGTTCAAAAATGTTTTGAATTTATTGAACCATGAAAACTCTCATTGCTCAACTTGGCTTTTGAAACTTAATTTCTGATATATATGGAGCAATGGGAGGTTGTGCAATGTGAAGCATAGAGTGCAATGCAAAGAAGCAACGGTGAGGATCTCAATCTCCTCGTTCCTATTAGGACCAATGGATAGAGGTATTGAACCTCCAAGCGAATTTGTGGATGCCGAACATCCACGACTATACAAACCTGTCACAGACGAAGAACTAAGAAAGATTAGACTAAGTCCGAATCTGCGTACTTTTATAACCATATGAAGGACTTGAGGTGATCCAAAGACAGATTAATTAAAATCTATATATGTATCCATGGCTTTGAAATATTGTTTAGTTTTCCCTAAGAATAAGGCGCAATTTGAAATCTATTATTTTGCAATGTATATCAATTATCAATCGATATTGTTTCCTTGTAAAGCAAAAATGATAAAATTGAGTGTATAATCATACTTCTGTCTGCTGACTATGTTGGAGGGTGGTAGTAGTAGCACCAAGCAAAGTAATGACCAAGTAGCGATAGTTACTGTGAGCTTCCTCATCGTCATACCCAGAGTCCAGATTAATTTTTCTGCAGATGTTGTTTGTTTCTGGTTTCTTCTTACTCTGCTGCATATATATATTCATTCTCATTTCAGGATAAAAGAGACGGAAATGGACTGTCATTTTGAATCATTTTATCTTCAAATTTACTGCCAAATTAGCATCAAAGTCTATTTATAACCATTACAATGTCAAAGTCTCAACCGAAACAAGTTTAATGCATCACTTGTCTTGTAACATTTTTTTGGATTGCTTTGTCTTTGTGAACTAAATCATATTCTATTCTTCCTAATTAGATATGTAAACTTCGGAATGTGACATATTAACCCATACATACATAAAGATAACCTGATTCATATGCATATTTTAAATTAACGCATTTTTGTGGAAAATATAAAAATTTAATTACTAGTTGAGGGGTTTTGTCCATAACATTTGGAGATTATTCAGGTTTTTAAGCAATGAAAGATGGTGAGGTACAATCAAAGTTCATCAAAGATTCTCTATAAGCCTATAACTAACTCTTCAGGGTGATCAAATAGCTTAAGCCCAGAAATCCGATCCTCGCAAGGCCTTACGAAAGGCACAATTTTCCTTTTTGTAGAGGAGTTAATCACGTGACGCTTCAACACGTTATTACCGTAAGAACGCGGTGAGCGCCAATGAAACGTATCCGTCAATGGAAAATCTAGAGGAAGTAGTAACCAGGAAATGGCTCGCAGAAGAGGTCGCTTATATCGTTCCGTTGGTCAACAAGCATATGACTCTATTTGTCAGGAGAGCATAGAGGAACACAGAAACCAGAGAGAGTATTCTGATCCCAAGGCCAGACAATGGAACCCACACAATGTATTGGCATAACTCACCAGAGCTGCTTGCAAGCTCGTCATGACCAAGCCTGTCTATTGCTCTCTTGTAAGCTTCTGTTCCTCGACCGCAATTCTTGTGAAGCATCTCGTAGTTTCTTAGCTTAGACAAAAGATATTGAGAAGGCTTGTAAGGTGAAGATTTGCGATACAACGAAGATTGGTACCTACTCAAGCAATATTCGCCGGAGATCTGTTAGGAAGCTGATGTCTTCTCTGTTTTTACTCACTCTGTTTATATATTATGGTTCAGTTATGTTAGTTGAAAGCGAGGGAAATGGATTCACCCTCTGAGTTTTTTTTGTAGTGACGACTTTGGAGAAGAGGGGCCATCAAAAGTTAAAGCAAAACAAAATCTTGAATAGGTCTTGTTTTAATTATATGATCGTTCCACATCTTAACTAGCAAAAGTTTACTTTTTGAAACGTTAGGATATTAAAATCTCAACCTTAAAGAACTTAATTACATAGTAACTTGTCTTTTTCAGAACCTAATTACCAGAATTTGTGAGTGCGACCATCATCATAACATGTAACATTTTGAGCGTTTTGTGGACAAATCAGAATTCAATGAGAGTTAATATATAATCAGAATTCATAGATAGAAATATTATATATCAATCAAATCATTTACTTTTCACTGGTTTTGAATCCAGTGGTGATACAAAAGAAAAGAAAAAACACATCGAGGTTTAAGCAAACTTTCTTGATAAATTTCAAGTTTTTAGGAATTTGTTAGGAAACAATGATGAACATAGAAGAATATGATAGCTTTACAATCATATTTCATCAACTAGCTTAAGCCCTCTGATCCTATCCTCACAATACCTAACAAAAGGGGACATTTTGATTGTCTTGGCTTGACAACTAGAGAGTGGAGCTTTAAGAGTAAGAGAACAAGGCTCCATCGACATGGCCCTAACACACGGTGGATCAGGAGCTTTGCGGTTCCTTGGTTCGTATAGTATCCATGGCTTTAATCCTCCAAGACCTTGTGCTATGTATCCAAAGGTAGACCGTGTGCTTGTCACAAGCTTATCAGTTAAACTCAGAAGATAGATCTCCGCAAGTGCCTTTTGGTCGTGAAGCTTCTTGTCTGTTTGTTGAACTCTTTCACCACTTGGCTGATAAACTTCGATTATCTCTCCTGTAGAACTCGGTCGTTCCCAAAACATGTTCTTTAAGTTATTAGAGTACTCTGGATGCAGAGATGTGACCATAACAGCTTTAAGTTTCTTGCTTCTTGATGTATTAGTAGTGACTTGTTCTGTATCCAATTCAGGCAACAGTTTCTCTCTTTGTGTACAGGACAGAATCTGGTCCATGACGTGCTGGAAATATCCAGCAGGCGTGCCAAACACTCGTACTTGAATCCCGAGTGTTTCGTCTGCTCTGGATAAGTAAGCATTGTAGGATCTTGTGACCATACCCCAAACTTGGTTTGTTGGGTGAAATAGATACCGACTCAAATGGTGAAAGACGGTATCTTTCTGCGGGAATAGCTTGATTAGCTCGGTTCGGAAACTAGGGATCAGCCATAGAGATGGAACATAGTAAAGGTTGGATTTGGTAACAAGCCAAGAGACTTTACCGAGGAAAGCTTGGTTTTCTTCACAGAAGAACAAGTAATCCTGACCCCTGGAATCATGGAAAATATCAAGATAAAGATGTGATGGTATTGTGGTTGAGTTAATGGCATGATTCTTCAACATTGTTCCGTAACAACGCGAGTGTTTGCGGTTGAAGCTATCTAACTGATCCGTCAATGGAAAATCCAGTGGAAGTAACCAGGAAGTACCCGGAAAAGGCTCGCAGAAGAGGTCAGTTATATCCTTCCGTTGGTCAACAAGAATGACTCTCTCTGTCAAGAGAGCATAGAGAAACATAGAGACCAGAGAAAGTATTCTGTTTCCAAGTCCAAACATAGGCGTCCACACCACGTATCGGCATTCATCACCGGAGATTCTTACATCGCCGTGACCAAGCAGATTTGTTGCTTTCTTGTAAGCATCTGTGCCTGGACCGCAACGCTTGTGAAGCATCTCGTAGCTTCTAAGCTTAGAGACAAGAGATTGAGAAGGCTTGTAAGGCAAAGTCTTGCGATACAAGGAAGACTTATGGTACCTACTCAAGCAAGAATCTTCATCGAAATCAGCGGTTAAAAGCCCTCCTAACAGTTTATCCCTCGGTTTTTCGGAACCTTTTTAAGAACATGAAAGAAAGAGAAGTCAAGTGAGAATTTTTTGTTTATTTTGCCAACTTTTTGTAATAAACTACCAATAAGATGATTTGATCTTACGTACCAGTGGTTGTAAGATGAGACTTGTGGCGATTGAAAATGTTGGAAGATGGTAGTAGTAGCACTGAGCAAAGTACTAAGCAAGTGGCGATTGTTATCGTGAGCTTCATCATATTCATACCAGAGATCCTAAACAACTTAGATGCTTTTTTAGTATTTGATTCTGGTCTCACCATGAAGAAGATGGAAATGGACTCTCATGTTGTGACCATCACAAGAGGTGAAGGAAACGAGATCTAAAAGATATGCATCATGCATGAATCTTTATCTGTAAAATCTTAATAATACATTACATTTTGGAAACAAATTTTCCATGAATTAATTGTAATTTTTTTTAGGTTTGTAAAGTAAATAATCAAGAATATATTTTGGAAACAAAAGGGATTTTGGAAACACATTTAAAAATAAACATTCGTAAATAATGAATATGACATAACTCTCCAACGTACAAGTCAGAATAGACTTGAGATTGTTCTGTTTCAGCATCTCAACGAGGAAAAACACAACAATGACACAAATTTATTTGCTTGCTTTTAGGCAACAATGATGAACGTAGAAGAAGATAAAGGATTTACAATCAAAACCCATCTGCGTAATCAACTAGCTTAAGGCCCGTGATCCGATCCTCACAATACCTAACAAAAGGGGTAATTCTCACCGTCTTAGCTTGACAACCATAGAGCGGAGCTCTAAGGAAACATGGCTCCATCGACATGGCTTTAACACATGGTGGCTCAGGAGCTGTGAGGTTCTTTGGCTGGTAGAGTATCCATGGCTTTAATCCTCCAAGACCTTGAGCAACGTACCCGAACGTAGATGAGTTGCTAGTTACTAGCTTATCAGTTAAACTCAAAAGATAGATCTCGGCGAGTGCCTTTTGGTCGTGAAGCTTCTTGTCTGTTTGCTGATACATTTCTTGGCTTGGTTGGTAAACTTGCACTGTGTCTCCTGTCGAACTCGGGCCTTCCCAAAACATGTTCCTTAGTCTCTCTGAGTACTCTGGATACAGAGATGTGACCAGGACAGCTTTAAGTTTCGGGGTTTTCGATGTATTATTAGTAGTGATGACTTGTGAAGCTACTTGAGGTAAAAGTTTCTCTCTTTGTGTACAGGCTAGGATCTGGTCCATGACGTGCTGGAAATATCCAGCACGTCTGTTGAAAACCCGGACTTGAATCCCGAGTGTTTCGTCTGCTCTTGATAAGTAAGCATTGTAGGATCTTGTGACCATACCCCAAACTTGGTTTGTCGGGTGAAATAGATACCGAGCCAAATGGTGGAAGACGGTATCTTTCTGTGGGAATAGCTTGATTAGCTCTGTTTGGAAACTTGGGATCAACCATAGAGATGGAATAAAGTAAAGATTTGAGTTGAAGACCAACCAAGGAACTTGCCTGCTGAGATCTTGATCTCTTTCACAGAAGAACATCTTATCTGTATCTTCGTAATCGTGAATAAGATAAAGACAGAGGTAGGAGGGGATTTTCTCTGTTGTGGTCGAGTTAATGGCATGATGATTCTTCAGCATTGTTCCGTAACAACGCGAGTGTTCTCTGTTGAAGCTATCTAACTGATCTGTCAGAGGAAAATCCAGAGGAAGTAACCAGGAAGTGCCAGGAAAAGGCTCGCAGAAGAGATCACTTATGTCTTTGCGTTGGTCAAGAAGAATGATTCTCTCTGTCAAGAGAGCATAGAGGAACATAGAAGCAAGAGTAAGTATTTTGTTTCCAAGACCATAAACCGCGATCCACACAATGTACTTGCATTCACCAACAGAAATCTCATCATGACTAAGACTCTCTGTTGCTTTCTTGTAAGCATCTGTGCCTGGACCGCAACGCTTGTGAAGCATTTCATAGCTTCTTAGCTTAAAGACAAGATATTCAGAAGGTTTGTATGGTGAAGCCTTGCGATACAAGGAAGACTTATGGTATCTACTCAAGCAAGAATCTTCATTGAAATCTGCAGTTAGGAGCCCTCCTGCCAGTTTGTCCACAGTTTTTCCTGATTCCTTTGAACCTACATTAATACAAGAAAACTCAAATGAGCATTGTTGAGTAACAAAACCAAAATATGAAAATGATTTTACCTTTGATTGTAGCACCAAGAAGATGGTGTTTAGAAACGTTGGAGGATGATAGTAATATCACCGACCTAAGTAGTAAGCAAGTGATGACTGTTATCATTAACTTCATCTTCATACCAAGAGTCCAGAAAACTTTGCCACGGATCTGAAATCGTTGATGATACATACTGAATGAATATGAAAGAGTTTCAAGTTTGTATTAACAGTTATGAAAGAGTTCAAGAGTGATCTACAACACTTATACTTGAATTGGTAAAGAATCTTGGTTTATAGATAAGAAATGTGATAAATGTGACAAAAAAAAAAAGAGTGGTTATGCTGTGATTGTAAGTTATGGAGACCACATTGATAGTGAAGCTTCTTGTCTTCTAGAAGGATATACGACCGGGTTTTAAAA